ATGACGTGAAATAAATACTTTGCTATCAATTCACTTCCTTCTACTCTCAAACGAATCAATGCGAAAAATTATTTCTAAGTTCATATTAAAAATCTTTCCCTCACCCTATCGAAATTAGTACAAAGCGATCCTAACAAAGAAGCTTTTTAGGGACAAAGAAAAAGAAATGAATTTTAAAGATTTTGAGTGGAGGCTCTTCATCTATCTGGAAAAGTTGGTTTTCTTGTACGTACTTTGGAACTCATCGAGATAAAATATCATTTATATATATATATATATATATATATATATATCAAATGGTAGGCTTTATGATAATTACCATTTACCCTTAAGCTGACTTCGAGCTTCATGGAGGGGAGGAGGAACATCAAAGTAACATAAAGTCTAGAGGTGGAGAACAGAAGAGTAATTCACAGATGTAAAAAGTACAGGCACAAATGTAGGGAAAAAGGTGAGATGAGTACTATGGAAGTGGCCGAATATGACATACAGTCAGGTCATGGAAGTTTAAAGTCTAGACTTTTGGCCGTATGAGTATACATTGTCTAGGGTGCACCACGTAGAGGTAAGTCTATCTCGCGCCCTGGCTAAATCTCATCAACTCTGCAGTTCTAACTGAATCCTTGAACTGAATTCAGTAGGAACCTTGATTCGATCATATTATTGGCTAACCCGCGTGAACCAACCACATCATTTCATGCCCCAAATTATTCTAGATCGCCTTTTTCACAAAATCATCAAAAGCTCTTTATTTTTAGTGAAGAATACATAAACTTTAATTCAATTTGCTAATTATGTGCGTGGCACCAAATTTGTTGTCTTCTTTTCACTAGGCATCCCGCACTTTCTTTATAATCCAAGATAACCTTACTTACGCACACAGAGAACATTAAATCTCAAATTAAATGGTTATGCTCGCGTTATCGGAGCTGCCTTTTCCCGTAAATATGGCTAGTTGCCACCAACACGAGTGGGGGAGGACGTCTGCGTGACACTCTCGAGAAGGTATCTATTTATAGAAAAGCAGATCATGTTATTACCCGTTTTTGAGTGCAGAAAAGCGTTTGGCAAAAATGGGAAAGTGGGCAATATCGAATAAGGCGTTTCCCTGGTTTGGCGTCACCGACTGTCAGTAGGTCCTCGGACAAAAAGGGTGCATACCACAATGCGATTTCGTACCTATTCACGTGATGTAATCAGTAGACAATGTTAGAAAAAATGGTGTAATCACTTTCAACCTTTCAGTGATCTAATTCGGACACTTTTCGCATCTCTGAACTACGCTAATCATTATTCCTTAACCGTTATTAACATGCGATTCCACATGAAATTGATGTGGACCTTCGTCTTTATGCCCCAACTGGAAGACAGGTGACCCGAACTTTATCGAAAAAGTCTCTTCAGCTTCATCGCTCCAACCCCGTATATATGGGATCATAGTGTGCTCAGTGGCACACAATACTTTGTTGTTTGGAGCCAACATTAGTGTTTTGACCAAGCTGTAAGCAAGTAGAAATGTCAAAAACCATTTTACTTTGAAGTGAATCAAGTTCCAAAATCTTTCCCGAGAGAGGCGTTTATTGGCTTTTGAGGTGCCATGAGACGGCGCTATGACGAACAGGCGATATTGCACTTCCAGTGAATAGCAAACAATTTCTTCGCCTTTCTTTAGCTCGGCATCTCAACGCGTCATATTTAACTTGTCAGTCATATAGTCCTGCTGATCAACTACTCTAATAATTAGACTTTTGGCCATGGCGTGATTTATCGTCTGCCTTCTCAAATGGCTCGGACCAAACTCCTCCTAAGGTAGCTGAGTTCACAAGGAGCTACTCTCGATTTCGATTTAAGTTAGAATGGGACGAGAAGAAGTACATGCTTCGTGAGCTGAATTCGATTTGAATGTATTTGAAGAAAACTGTGCAAATAATTGCATATTCATATACCTAAACGACAAGAGAGTTTGTTCCTTAAATTCATTTTAACTTGCCTTTGTTGGTGCATTGGCGTTTCTAGAGTAGAGAAATGAATAATTGTGCCTATGAAACGCGCAAATTTTTCCTGAAAAAAGAGCATCCAATCTCTTCCTTCTCGATTCAACTTGCGTTCTTGTAGGAAATGAACTTGTTAGACAAGACCACAGCCAAAACACAACTCAAGAAATATGAGAATTCCGTAGAGAAAAGAACGAAGCTTTAAATAAATTTTGGAGGGAATGCCTTTGGAAATAGTTCTAAGCTGAAGGAAAGTGGTAATTCGTGTCAAGCATTAGCAAATCATTCAACAGCCGATTGTTTGTAGGCAGAAGAAAACAAATTGCACAATTCAACGAGTTGGAGAGGGGTCTGGAACGGAGGGGCTCAAGTCGATCGACCAACGGAGAAATGTGTCTCTCGATTTTGAATGAACTCGAAACTGTTCAAAATTCCAAAATTTTAAAACAATAAAATTATTGCTTTAAAAACTGCTAAAAAAGGATGCATTAAGAAGTCAATTGGATGTTTTCACCCGAGTTGCATCGCTTCTGAACTCAGCAAAGACCAAAGGATCGCTAATAAACTCCGTTGAAATTAGACGCCCTTCTCGCTCAATGGAAAAGAGGTAAAGGAAATTGGCAAGAGCCAGTGAAACATTTATCAACAAGCAAACAAGCGCCGATCTTTGTGATCGAGAATTTGCTCTGCAATGCAGATAAAGAATAATTTCCTGTGAAGTTGGGAATTTAAACTTACCGGCAAGAAAATGCTGTGCAACCCAAATGTAGAATTCCAATGGAGTGGCTTGTTGACACCTCGACGTTACCCTCGACATCTCTTTGATCCCGTGTGATCTCTCCCCCCCCCCATTAAATGGCGAGCGACTTTTGTTGCTCCCACACTCCCTCATTTGGCGATAGATCGAAGTATAACAATAAAATACAATGGCCATGAAATATTACGTATTCCACTCAAGTTCTAATCTGAAACAAAGTTCTAACAGACCAATGACTAATCAAGGCAGTGTATTTTTCAGTGACAACTGAAAGAAGGTCAAGAGGTCTGAATTCGCTGTTACGAGATCCGAATGTCGGTTACTGATATTTGTTTTCTATTCTTCAAACCTTCTGTTAATGACAGTTGTTAAGTATCAAGATTTGATGAAAGAAGTACCCACGGCAGTCTACAATGCTTTTTCACAATTTCGGATAAATATGAATGTTCAAGAATCTTTCATTCTACTAAAATTTTTATAGGCAATAAAGCCAATGGAAAGCCGGAAATAGAACAGAAGCATGTTGGAGTCTTTCAAAGTGCGTTGTAGGCAAATGAGGTGAAGACGTCCTTTGCAACCCCCTAGTTAAACCATAAAGACCTAATCCAAAATTATGTAACCCACCTATGACTGTTGACCTTGAGATTTCGGTTAAGAAGTTAGTCTGCCGAATTGTGGTATGAGGTCTTCATATGAGATGTTCTTGGTGTTCTCCCTTTAATGCACAAGTTGAAGCGCAGTAATTCTACAAAGCACTATAAAAGGCTATTTAGAATAGTGCTTTAAAAATTATTTTTTTTTAGGTGTCTACTTTATGCCTCATTGCACTCGACCTCTCCTCTGCACACATGAGCACTCCTTTTATGTTCAGGCGAAATCAAGGAAATAAAGATTGACGGGCAGCAATAATAACCACAACAACAAAAACAATGAGGGTGCATTAATGAGATGGGATTGCAAAAAAATGAAGTCAACTTTCAAGGCAGAAAACACCTTCTATTCCAGTGCTATATTGACAGCTTTGTGTCTTTTTGATGGATTTCGCAAATGCTCTCTACTGAAGACGAATTCTCTCATGTTCTAGTAGGCATGAGATTGCTCAGTCAAATTGCCTAGTAGTCGAAGTGAGTGCTCCACAGATGTCGCAGGTTGACAAAAACGCCCACTCAGACCATCTGGCCCTAAATTAGCACTTCATTTGCAACGGCAGATGAACTCTTCTGATTTTGCTCAGAAATTCATTACAAACAGCTTATATTAAATTAATCTCCTATTATATTGGTAAAGCACATATTAAAAGTCAATTAAATCTGATTGAAATGTATTCGGAAACACAATAGTTTGTTATAATAAACTACAAGAGCAATAAGAAGATAAATAACTCTGCTTATTTACCACCCGCAGATTCGTTTGTGCTTTTGCGTGGTCTTGAATTTTGGAGAGAAACATGTCCTAAAATTCCAAACCTCTGAGTTTAAGATGAATGAAGTGTTGACGTAATTTGTGTTGAGTAGGGACAGCTAAGATCTGTGTTAAACAAAGACATTACTTATCTCAGGCAACTATGACTGTTGATGGTAGACATGCAACTGTTCTTCTGCAATAATTTTTTTAAAGGCAGAACACTTTCTGGAAAAGGCCATTTCCCCTTCTGTTGCCTTCAACGTCACAAGAGTAGAAATTTCCTACTTCTTGCACAGTCCTTTATTCCATTTTTCAGTAACTTCGTCCAAGTGTCTTTACAAAAAGATTTCACGAACATTAGGCACGTAAGACATGTTTACATAGTGCCCTTGCATAATTCAAATATAAAAACTTTTACCTACTTATTTTGTTGGCAGGAATTGTTATTCGTAATATTCAACAAAATTGTTTCCCTATTTCAATTGTAGTAAAAAAATTTAATAAAATGAGGGAAATGAGAGCTAAAAGGATGTTAAAAGAGTCATATACCTTCGCTTTGTCACGATGCGTAAATTTGATTCCATTGTTCAAATTTATATTATTGACTCAAGCTTTCATAGAAATAACACTTTTAAACGAACGCCAATTTGAGAAAAGCCCAGGTTGTTTTTCAACTTGTGGAAGTCAAGAAATGCCAGACAAAGTCTAGAGCGGAATCTGTCCTTGCTTACATAATTATCAGCACCGTCATCCAAGAGCCCCACCCCACCCCCTAGTGGATACAGAACAAATAAAATTTTCGTCCAAATAGCCCTTAGAAGAATTTCCTTGTATAAGTTTCCCCTAGATTAAGCTAGGCGAAAATATTTTGTGTAATGCGCCTAGTTATTAAATATTTATTGATATCAAATGGCAGGCGTCTAGATGGTTATCATTAGCCCT